GTACACCTTTTAGTATTAACATCAAGTTTTTTGATGGAATAATATTATATTCATCGATATGTTCGTTACTATAAAATGAGTTTATAACATGCCGAAAGAATATTTTATGTTCAAAATGATCTTGTGAAAGTACGATATATAGATATTGTAATATAGTTATCATACTTTGTTCATCTATATAATTAACTAAACTCACAATCATGATGATAAAAAAAAATTCAACATACAAATTAACGAAGCAATCATCATAATAACTATGGCCATTCAATTATTTTTTTATCTAAGTAGTAGTAAAAAGAATATTTAAAATAAAATAAACACGAGGGTCATATATATATATATAGATATATATATATACACATCGTTTTGGTGTACCAAAATCTTCGAATTGAATTTTTGAATATTAAAAAAAAAAGAACCATAAATTTATGCATCGTTAAAAAACACATCAAATATCTATTGATACAATGGAAAATTTTCATTTAGACAATCGTATTGTGCTTGAAACTGTCCATATATTCTATGATTCTAAGCGGAGCGAGTGTCCACTATAATTTGAGCGAAGAACGGTACAGTAACAATACATCATATCGGCAGAATCCCATTAGATACAATTGTGCAATAAACTAACAACTTCATTGTACTGTAAATATGAGATACGCTCAGATGAATGTCCGAAAATTTCTATTGGACTTTATGATTTTTCAATCAATTTGAATAAAATGATTCAAAATAGATCTGGAAGCTATTGACCTTGAAAGATTGTCATATGGTATCATTTTATACACCACCTTTCTTTCATAAAATCACTAATCCTTAAAATTTCTATTTAAGATAATAATTATATTGTTCATTAAAAATAAACATGACTTTTATATTAGATTTGGGTGATAAATTTTTCTCTCACTCTCTCTCCCCATTCTCTGTTCTTTTCAGATTAAATATTTGTAAATGGGTTAATGATACAAATTAATTATATCTGCATGATGAGAGAAAAAGGCGATAAAACCTATTGAGATATATTACACCTTGAGCCCTATTCAATCAAGAGTTAACCTTGGATGTGTATGTATGTATTATTGACAAATGTGTTCTTGAAATAACGATGGTGATACGATGATCGTTTTGATAGTATTAGGGTCTAAAATAATTAATATACTTAACCTCATAAGTTCGTAAATAGCATAATAGAGATAATAAATCAATTACATATTATAATCATTATCAAGCATCTATAAAACATTTTTATTTTCAACAAGTATGAATAAAGCCACATGTATACTAATATACATACATACACAAGGTTGATAACATGTATTACACAAAGAGAGCGCGCATTCTCACTATGAATTGAAGTCAATAATTTTAGAAAAAAGAAAAAAAGTGACCTGTATTTCTCTTAGTCAATATTTAAATAGCAGGTAACAAACTGTTAATCAAAATCAAGCGCTATATTTGTCATAAAATTTTAAATTTTTACTACAGAAACTTTTTTTATTGACATAGAATATAGATGTTTAGTATCAAATGATGATTATTGATTAAATTATCTCTCTCCCATTTGTACAATAAAATAATGTCTAATATTTATAAAATTGACTATATTATGATATAATTTGATTTTTGTAACTAATTCTAAATTGAACTATCGTTCTCATTACTCGTTGTACTCTCATTTGACTTGAAATAGATGATAATTTTTCTCTCATGGAAACATGTCACATTAATGTCAAGATATATCTTTCAAACCATCATTTTTAATTCTCTCTCTCCCTCTCTCTCTTTCTCTCTACTGAAAGAAATAGATTCTCTTTTCTCGATACTTCGTGACTGATCTATTAAAAAAGATGTGATATATTGAGATTAGATTTATGATAAAAATATTATCATTCGGTGTATCAGAGCAAAAAAAACTTTCTTCTTTTTTGTTCACCATTAATATACACTTTTTTCAATAATAACATTTATTTTTATTTTTTCCATGATTAGTTAGTCAATTGAAAATATGAATCTCTTGTGACATTGTTATCGATTGTTTGTTTTTTTCTTCGGTTTATTAGAGACGAGATATCACACAACTTTAACAGAAAAATGTGTTTTAATCACAAAATTAATTAGTAGACAAAAAGAATTCTCTTGATTTTCATTGATCATAATGGTTTTGTCCCTAAACTGTACACGATACCACCAAAAAAAAATGTCGAAGTAAGAATGAAACCTATTACACACAGCTAGATCGTACGATGAAGCGAAAGATTACGCAAAATTACAGTCTAATATTTGTTACTCAATCGTTGATCAGATGTAAAAAAACTGTACAAAATAGTCGTTCAAGTGTAGAAAGTATCTGTTTTGTTCTTTTGAAATTCAAATAGTCATGTCGGATAGTAATCCACAATCAGTGCCCGTCATGTTCAGAAATGTACATGTACACAAACAAGAAGGACGCAATCTTACAACACGTTTACCATCACTCATTCGGAAATCGAAACCGATGCTAAAAGATTGGTCAGAGGCACGCATTTCATTATCATTTTGCTACTGTTACAAATATATCTCATGATACGAAGCTGCATGGTTACAAATAGTCAGTAAATATAAATTGATCTGATATTTTACATTGGTTTAAGACATTTTAAGTTGTTCCATCATCCACGACAACAATAACAACGTCAGTTTGATTGGGTATGTAGTGATCTGGTCAATGGATATCAGCTGACGATTTTGTGGCACGGTAGACATCATGTTGGTTAGTGTCACCGTTTATATCAAGGGGTACAAAACTGATTTGAGGACTTTGAAGATTTCAAAAGATTTGGAGGAATTTGAACAAGGTTTTAAAAGATTTGGAAGGGGGACAAAACTGATTTGAATCTGTAAAATCTCTCCAAATCTTTTAAAATCTTCAAAATCCTCAAATCAGTTTTGTCCCCCTCGACTTATATCTTATACGCGTCCAGCAATGAAACACACTCGGTTAGATTAGCCATTTTATTCAACATGTATCAGATGATGGAGAAAACTCGTTTTGTGAACCATTGCGTAAGAGAAAACGTAAAAATCATCCGAAAAAAAAATTCGTATAGCCTTTTTTTGTCCTGTTCTATTCATATTTCTTCTTGTATATATTTTTTTTATATTCTCTTTTTGTCTACTAATAAATTTTGATGATTAAAAGTCTTATTTTTTAGTGATCAAAAATATTGATACCTCAATCCTCAATTGATCAATAGAAATAGAGAAACAAAAAATATCTATTCTATTCAATATATGTAACAAAACCGGCGACATAATGATCAATAAAACGAATTGAAAAATGTCATTTTGTATTTTTCGCATCTTTGTAACAGTCTGTTATACAATAGTTTTGTTATAATTATCGAAATGTAAGCATCATCGTAAGAGGACGAGCATTTTAGTAACCTATTTACAATCTTTAAAAAACAACACATGGTCATACATATTAAAATTCTTAAAATGAGTTAGTACCTTATCAACTTTTAAAATAGAATATTTTGCTAAACTTATGTTATGAAACGAAGACATTTTCCTTGATATATAATGACGTATCAACGACAAATGGGCAATCATCAGTATAACATAAGCATATTTTTATCCTATAGAAAACGTATTATTCCTTCTATTGTCCTCATTTCTTCTATTTCAACTAGATTATTTCTACATTATATAACAATCTGTTAAATTAATTTGAAAATAATTCATAAAAAACATGTAAAGATGTATTTAATTGATATTTGGTACCTTGAAAAATAGTCAAATTGTAGGTTAAAAATAATAAAATAGAATGTCACAAAAGTTATTCATCTTAATTCTATTTTAGATATGTATCAATTACATACTAATGCACTTTAACTATTTATTAAATCTAACTAAGAGAATAGAGTTTTCAACTAAGGTTTTATATTGTTTGTTAACTTTTATTCATTCTTTTATTTAAGCAAATAAAATTTATTTTATTTTTTTTATTTTTTTATTTTTTACCTGTTTGTAAAAATGGTGATGATGATGATGATTGCCAATTTTTTTGATTACTTGTTGAATGGTAATCCGGTAATGGTGAATAACGATCAGAATAAAGGTGTCGATACATAGTATTTATTCGTTTTTTTATATTTATATTTCAATAACTTTCTTAAAAAATCGTATTCTCTTCTTTTCGATCATCACTTATACACAGACCGCTCATACAAAGAGAGAGAGAAAGTAGTGGGATAGTTTGCATCTATATACACGCCAATTTTTTCTGCTTTTTTTTTAAGAACTTTTTTTTGCTTCGTTTCTTCTTTTTACAGTCTAAATAAACTAATTCATTGTATGCCTGCATGGCAGCAATAGTACACTTTTCTTTCTCTCTATTTCTTATTCTTTTCCTTCTACCATAATTCTTATATTTATATGTGTGTGTGTGTGTGTTTCACAATATTTCTTTTAAACAACCATGACTCGTTTTTTCTTTTACGATTAACATCAACTACAGCAGTTCCACCACAACTACCATCACCATCATACACACACCAGAAGAACAAAAGGAAAGAAAACCACTAGAAAGAAGAAGAAAGTTGTTTCTTTTTATATAAACATCAGAAGAAGAAAAAAAAAACATTATTTATATTATATTAAAAGGAAGAAATAATAGATAAAAAGTTTGACAAGAGAATAAAAAAAAATAAAAGATCCCTAAATACAAATATAAAATGGTGTAAGTGCTTTTTACACCTAAAAACACGGATGTTTTTTTTAATAAACATCCTACTCTCTTACTGTTTGTTTGCACTATACAACATTCTTAACGACACAAATTTCTAGATCGTGTATCATTTACAAGAAATGATATGGAAAATAACAAATTTGTTTTTTTCGCTTAAATAACTTTTAGAGACATTTTTCTATTATTATTAATCTTTTCTTCCTTTCAGTTGATGATTCTTAAAATAAATCATTATTTTGACGATTTGACGATCTTTATTTCTTTAACTTTATCAATCATTATAATATTCAAGTGAGACGGGCGTATATTTTTCAAATGATTTTATAAACGAGTATAAAAAATTCAATCGTTCTGCTTTCACCTGTACTTTTAAAAAAAGAAAATAATATTTAAAACATTCATTTATAAAAAAAAAATTTTTTTTTTTTTTTTTTTTTGCTTTCTATAATAGCAAGGTCTTCTAAAATTAGATTCATCTGTATTTTACTTTATCATTCAACGTATGTCAAGGTTGATAAAATGAGAAAATTCTTTTCATAAAAATTTAAATATTGCTGAGATAAAAACAACAAAAGAAGATTGTTACATAGAGATGACTTTATATTTTCATATCAAAATCATCTGTGATGGAACAACAATACCCAAGAGTTCTTTATCATGTTAAAATTTTAGTATCAGACCGAGCCGAGATTTTGGGAGACAGAGAAACAGTGGACACTGACAATCAACTCTGACTTGATTAATTATAAGTTTTGCACATTAAGATAAAGTATATTATATCTCAAACAAAATTAGTTAGCATTTAAATTTCATCAATTTTCAAAATGAAATGTATTGGTCACACATGTTATAGTTCATACTCTCTCTCTCTCTTTCTCTCCTTTACATAACACAGTTTCTACACAAACTATTTTCTTTCTTTCATTTTATTTTACCTTGAAATTCTTTCGATGATAATATGTTGAATAATTGTTTATTGATAGTTGGTTTTAATATTTGCTCATATGTTTGTTGTGCGAATAACTGTAAATAATCTTCATTATCCAAAATATAAACATTTTTTAACGTATTGCCTTTTGTTTGAAATTGAACAAATTGTTCATTTGCCAATGGCAATAATTCTAATTCTAATACGAGACCCGGATCTGGATCATTTAAAATAATATATGTTAAAATAGATAATTTTTGTTCAATAGATAAACGTTGTAAAACAGATGAATTTTTTGATAATAATTCACTTGCATGAAATGGTGTCATAACTTGTAAATAAAGTTTATTGGAATATTTACATAGACCACGAACAATGTGTCGTGGTAAAATAACAATGGGAGCATTTGCTTCACTAAAAACATATGTAAGAACTTCTTGTTGAATAGGATCTTCAACATCATTTATAATCATATCTTCAATGGCTACATATCCCCAACCATCAGTAACACTATAAAATAATTCTTGTTTACCTAAAAAAAATAGTGATAAATTTACTAGATATTTTCCATGATTTAATAAATCATTCGTATCGAGTTGATGTTGTTAACTAAAGACTATTTTTCTACACATAATTCAACGGCTAATTTGAATCTCTCTTATCTAATTAACATTAGACAAAAATTTTTATACTCAATTTGATCATCTAAATCTACATACCAATTTCACTCCAAATATCTGGCATAATATCATAAATTGTTGTCGTTGTTAATTCATGACTTTTATTTTGTTGTAATTGTTGTTGTTCATTAATATCTGGCATAAGTGACCATAACATATCATTTGATAAAAATTGTTGTGTATTTGATGATGACGGTTTAATTAGACGAGAAAAATCTTTCAACATTAAAGCATACGCTTGTGGAAATTTTAATTGTCTTAAATTTGATGTTACTGTTGGAGATATAGACGTAGAATAGTAGAGTGTACGTATAGAAGTTAATTGTACTGAACGAAATGTAGCATAAGTAGATGATGAAATAGATGATAATTTTAAAAGTGGAAGATGAGATGAAAGTGGTACTAATAATTTAACAATAAATTCACATTTTTCAGTTTCATTATAGTCAACATAAATTGATAATAACCATTTTGTATAAGTTAATGGTGATGTGGGTGAATTATCAGATGTAGACGATTGTGGAGAACTAAAATAAGAGAAAACATAATTATTTCTAGATAAAAAAAAAAAAAAATTATCATCAAAAAAATGATAATTTTAGAATTAAAAATCATTTTTTCTACCTTGGTTGTAATTGACTATTATTTCCTGTTGGAGTTAAAAAATGTGTCGATGATTCTTTTTCAATATTAATTATTGATGTGATTGATTTTGGATAGTCAGTTGTCGATGGTAAATATTTCATATAATCTTTAAATTGATATGTTTGATTTCGTATTTGTACTTGTATTAACTGTTTAAATGTATGAAAATCTTTTGTATGATCAAATGTTATAGATGTTAAATTTGTCGATAATAATAATTGAATTTGAGAATATAAATCATTTCTAATAACAAAAATAACATACTTAAGAAAGTCTTTCTCTATTAGACGAAAATAAATCAAAATAATTTTCTTTTATTCTTTATCGGATATATTTTACCCAAGGATACAGAAATAGACCCGTTTGTTCTGATGGCTATGCGCATGAAAATTCTTTCATTAAAAAAAAATATTTTTTCAGAAAAGTATTAAAAAACGAATAATTGTAGAAGAAAATATTCTCACACACGACCTGGAAATCTTTTTTTTTATATCGGGAAAACGTTTTTTCATTCTTGCGGATCGATTTTGCATCTTTGGTATTTATCTTGACTCTCTAAATCTTATCTTATTGCTGGAAAACAAAAAAGTACGTGGTTTTGTTGATCTGATAGAAGAGATAGAAGTCTTTTTAAAAAGAAAGTAGTTAGATTACCCAATAAAATAATCGTTAATTTGTTGACATAAATCATCTAAATTGTATAGTTGATTTGTAATCATTTGCTGATTTTTCGTTGTTCGTAATGGTAAACGAATAATTGTTCCGGCAAAAGACGTTTTAGATGGTGATAAAAAATATTCTAAGGGTTTAAACTGATCTTCAAACATTTCAATATCATCTGTTTCCAAATCAAATATTGATACATATGAACGTTCATCTGATGTCATACGATCACATGGATCAAAATAAACAACACGTGAACCACTTGATACACATATAAAATCTAAACAGAAACAAATAAACCAAAAAATGAGGAAACTATGAAAATAACATGGAATAAAACTATTGGAATAATCTTGTTTCTTATTTGAAAATAAAACTTCTATCGTATGTTTTGATAATTGTACATTTACATACACTCTTCAACCCGATCCGATCACCTATAATTCTACCAGTTTCATTTGAATACTGCCTGAACACAATGGTTGTATTTTACCGCTTCAATTTATATTCCACTGAATGATAATAGGGTGTACTATCAATATGAACTGATTGCATCCACTCATTATTTATCTGGCAGAGTAGCAAGTTATATCTTCAAAGCACTCGTTTTCGTCTGGAATCCGCACGGATCTCAAGTGGACGGATCAGGGTTAACGGTCCTAGTTTTTGTTTTTGTTTTGTCATATATAATAATAAATCAAGATTAAACTCAACTTATTAAATCGTATTACCTGAACAATGAAAGAAGGATGCAATTTTCGTTGAATTTTGTTGTTCATTTTGAATAGGTAATTGTTCTTGTTGATGAATGGCTGCATCATGAACGCCAAAATATTCTTCCCATTGTTGTTCATTTAATTCAATATCAAATGTAACACATAATGCCGGTCCCTGAAAATGAAATAAAAAACAAAATTAAGCAAACTATCATTGTATAATTAGATTAATTTACTTGATAAACACTAAATTCATCATTAATAAGTGTATTTGTTTCGTATGTTTTTTCTACTAAATATCCGTGAATTGTTGTTGCTCCTAAGACGTCTCCATAATGAATAAGTGTTTCAATTAATTCACTCGATTTAGGTACAGATGTAATTAGAGCACGAACAACATCTTTTATATGAAATATTGGACTAGCAATAATACGCATTTTAGCATATTGAATTTGACTGGAAGAACTTGATATTGGTGATGAAGGTGGATCTTCAGTGTTGTTCGTAGTGGTAGTCGTATCAGTAGTAGTAGTGTCAGTAGTAGAAATACTAGTAACAGATGTGACTTGTTGCTGTTGTTGACCAATTCCACCACCACTACTTAAACTTTCTAAATAGAAGACAAAACGTTAGAATATTTCTATTGTTGTTGTTGTTTTTTCTGTAAAGGACTAGAGCGTTCATTTTCAATAGTGACATGCTATTAAAAGATATCATATAAATTATAACTAACTACTTTTAATACTCTTATGTTTTTTAGCTAATCACAAAAAGCTAAACGATACTCTATTTACTTAATCCTTAATCAATTATATACAGTAGTAAATAGCAGAGCAAAAAAAAAAATAGGTAGGTGATAATGAACCATAAAAATGATTATTGAATGAGCAATATGATAGAAAAGATGATAAAGAGAACAAAATAACTATGGGTACATACAGCTCACAAACCTTTTCCATTTTTAAAAATTTGTTTCAACAATTTTTGTGACATCTATTTGTGTTAAAGTAACCCTGTTGACACACACACACATACTATTCACTACTAGAACACAGGTACTTTTTATTCTTCTCCTATTTTTCGTTTTTTCGAATAACGCTTATGTCTTTGTTAAAGAAATTTGACTTCTTTTTACTATATTCAACGTACTTTGAACTACTACCTCAAATATGTATGATGTTATTCGACCATTTCTATTTCATATACTTCTACACTCTCTATTGTGTATGTATGTACAATCGATAGAGAATAATTATTCTCGTTTATGGTAATATGACACCATCATCACGACGTTTCTTTCTTCACTTTTTTTTTTATTTTTATATTGAACAAATACTCTTCTCACCCAATCTTTCTCTTCATTTTCTTCTTTTTTTTTTTTTTGTTTTTAATGACTACTATTTTTAGTAGAACGGCTATATTCTCGTTACACGTTGAAATGTATGTAATAGATGAAATATCACTTTCCCATATCAGTGATAACACACACGCACACACTATAAATTTCATTTCAAAGTCATCATTTTGTCAAAAAACTGAGAAAAACATAATACAAAACGAATATAAATGATGTAATATGGCCACTCGAAACTTATCACTTTTTATGCAATGATTAGACGTTGTTCAAAATAAGCTTAACAACATACTTGAGTTCATGTGAGAAAGATGTTCAATTGTCATCGATTTTCATCAATATGAATTTAGAAATTGTTCATATTAAAATTATTCCTTAGACAAAATAATTTCTAAGAATCCTTTTTTATTTTTAAATTTATAAGTCACATGATATTGAGTCTACTTGAAAAAAGACGAAAAGGACATTGACATTTACTACGTGACCGTGGACAAACACTTAAAACGCTTAACCACATTTAGGTTAGTTTTTTTGAGTGAGTTAAGTTTTTTAATCTAATCTTATATATTAAAAAAACAAATCGTTCTAATATCTTTTCACACGATTTTTTCGTTTGACGAACAATTTCTGCCAAAAAAAAAGCATTTTTAACAATCGAATATGACTATTTCCTTTCTCAATATAATATTTTCCTCCAGGTCAATGTCTTAACACAAAAAAAGAATAAAAATAGACACTTCAGTTATCATTATGTCAATAAATGAAAAAATAAGTCTAACACTTACCGTGATAATCATTATTTTGATGTATAGTGAAATTTGTACATGAGACAACAACCATTGTTGTTGCTATTATTCTTATTTATTTTTCTACAAAAAATACGATGTTCAAAAGTCTTAATTATTCTACTATTTTCATATTAAACTTTTTTCCTTGTCTATTTACTCTTCATTATTATTGCACTATAGTATACCTAGTATGGATATATTTAGAGTTATCGATATACTGAGTGCACATATATATATATACATGCGTACATCTTCTAATCAAAAGTATAAGAGAATGAAGGACAGACGTACAACATTCAACTTTATTGATCATTCATAATGTTAGCTCAAGACCTTAAACTATAATTGGAGACTAACAGGACAGATGACGTAATCTATTATTAGTTCTATCTAAGAAAGAAAACAGGTGTCGCAAAACGTTAGCAGCCAAAAAAGGAATCTTTTTGAAAGTATCTTACATCTCATTTTCAAAAAAATTTCTGATTCAGAGCTAACATATATATTAGTAGATAGCATAAATTTTCAGATACCAAAGCCATTCTTACCCATAAAATGAAAAATGAGCTGTTCCCTTGAACAGGTAAAGAAATCGGAGAAAAACCAGAAATAAAACATCTTTTATGAAACTTTATAATGAATCCAAAAGATCTATTTATTATTTAGTCTAGTGCGTTGAACTTGCGTGTATACCAAAATTGATGAATAAGATTACATTTTAGCTGAATGTCTATCTAAAAACAGTTTATTATTACTATACTCTGAATATGTTTTATTGTAATTTTTTTATAAAGTATAGTACGCTAAAAGTCTAAGATATACAAATAAAAACAAGGTAATAATCGACTTATTTACAACTACAATTACGTTTATATTCTCTGTTATTTTCATACGTTTATTTTTTTTTTTTCTATTCACCAAACAACAAGGCAACAATCACATAGAGACTTCATACCTTGAATCGTCATGTTATATTATGAAAATCGTACTTCACAGTAAACGACTACTATAGATTTTGGCCCATTTTTTTGGTTAGAACGAAAATTTGTTTTTTATCATACTATTTAATAGACTAAAAACTAAAAGCAAAGACTACAGCACAAACAGCTAAGAGAATAAATTAGTTCAGAAACATTTCTAAAATTTGAAAATGAACTGATAATCGGATAAACAGGTGTTGAAATTATGTGGGAACGTATAATATAGAATTTTTTTTTGGTCGTATTTTTAAAAATAGGAATATGCTTCAAATTGACCTGCCTACTTAGCATCAAATTTACTAAGACTTAAAACTTCTGTGTATTTTAAAAAAAATAACATTTAATGCAACTTCTTGCTTAGTTTTTCGTATGAACACATTTTATGCGTATGCGTGTAGACATGAAAACTATTTATTGTATTGGTGAACAAAGGTCTACTTTAACACTCAAACAACTGATAATGAGATATATGTGTATGTATGTATAAATGTTTTACAAACTCGATAACAAAACGATCTGAATTATTAGAAATCATCTTAAAAGTGACTTTCTTCTTAAAATATCTCTACTGTTTGTCTTGACGTTTTCTTAAACAAATTCAAAGCAATCAAATGACAATCAGTGTGTACGTTATAATTCCATTTATTCGATGTAAAGATATAGACTATTTATATACTCATGAGAAAACTCTCTCTCTCTCTTGTGTATTTTCATCTCTAAATTAAAGCTATGTAATTTTTTTGTAAATAAAAAAACAAGCATGTTCTAGAAAGTCTTTCCATTCTAATTTGAATCACATTAGAAATATACCCGTGAAACATGATGAATACTATTTAGAATCGGAAAAGTGAGATATTATAGTAAAATGCACAAATATTTTTACTTTCATTAAAAAGCACAAGCTACAAACGCTTGTACTCATTATGAATAAAAATTTCCATTAGCTACAAATAATGAGTTGATACAAATTTTTTATACTATTCATCAATTTCGACTTCTAACTCTTGTATTTCACTTAAAAAATTTTGTTAAAATATCAACACCGATTAAGAGTTTTTATACATTGTTTTATAACGCGCTTGTAAAGGCTGACAATGCAGACTTTTTTATTTTACCACTTAGATATGGTTCTTTTCTGTAGTGCAATAGTCAGTAACTGTGAATAATAATATTTTAACGTGCTGCTATAACATTCGATCTCAACAAGAATCATTTCTGATCAATACTGATTTTGTAAGACATGGAAAACCAGAGTTTGCATGTAATAAACAACGGTATTTCGTAGAGTTGTAACGGATAACGGCCCAGTCGTTCCGTTCCGGTAAAACGGTCGCCTTCCCCCTCCCCCCAAAAAAAGATTCTAATCAATGTCATTTTTGAACTGGTTTTGAACAAAATTAGTCTTTCACTATGGAAATTTAGAATGGTCGTTCCGTTCTGGTAGAAAACTTTTAAAATGAACCATTCTCATTCTAAGAATTTTGGAACGATTCCATCTCTGATATTTTGAGGATAGAAAATCGTTATTTATTCTACTTATAAATTTTGAAAAAGATTCAATTAACATCCTGAATATACATCATTTTCGACGATCAATTCAGTAATTCATCATCTACTATAAAAAAGAATTAAATTTTGATAATTATGCCTTTTACTATATCATCAACGAATATAAATAAATACAAATTTGATTTGAATAAGGCTTATATCTCCAAATATTAGAATCACTCTCAATCACCTTAATTTGTCCTTAGATAAATTATTAATTTCGTAAATAACAGACGATCATATATTCCGATATAAAACAAGGACAAAAAAATATTTTCAATGACTAGTATATTAATGTGTTAATAATGTAAGCATAAATTACCATTGTAGAAATTGGATAACTAACTTTGAATTAATCTTTTTCTAATATTTAGTCCAATATCAGACAATTTAGCTTAATGATATATCTATTCTTACCCATCCTCATTTTTTTCCAATTATCAATTTGTTTAATGATAAAAATCATGCATTGTTTCATTATACGAAATATAAGATAAATAATTTGAATAAATAAATAGACGAAAATAGATTTTTTAAAAATTTTCATTATAACTACTTATTTATTAACAAGTTTAAAAAGGACAAAAAGAAATCAACATATAATAGTTGCCTTTTCTTTTTATAATCATTTTTGGATGTTTTTATTTTTTATTTTTTTGTATATTATTGTCAAACAGGTGGAATAACACTATAATATTTATTTATTTCGAAACATGATATAGTTGTTACAGAAACATCAATATATACATATACATACACACGACAGAAAGGAGGAAGGAAGAAAAAAAAGTAGCGAAAATTTATTATTTTTTTATTAAATGATTATTATTGAGGATCATGTTTTAATGTTTCAAATATACACACATACACCACATTCGCTTGACCGATCACACTCATTCACCCACTATCTATTTGACACACAAAAAAAAAAGAAGAAGAAAAAACAGAGAACGAAAGAGAGAGAATGATGAGAAAATGAGCACAAGTGTAAATTAAAAATGTAAAGTAACGAAGTAATAATTTATTGGTAATGTTCTACTATTTAGAATAAATTGATCAGATTTATTTTATTTTTCTTCTTTCTCATACAAGTGACGGATATGCCTGACATTGCTGAATAAAATAAGATAGTTTGTTTGTTTTCTTGTATCAAAATTCATCTTCATTGAGCAATAATTCAATGACCTTATACATCAATCCGATGTATGAGTTAACATATTCTTTCACATTAAACAGAGTAAATATGGTTAATATACTTTTTGAAATATTAATTATTATTATTATTGGGATCATATGGGACGACATTGATCTCATCAAAAAAAAATT